GCGGTTTCACTAGATTCCCGAAAATATCTGAGCGAAGAGGTTCCTCCCACGGGGAACACGACGATTGAATCAATTTAGAGAGAGGTTTTGATAGGCTGAATGACACGTGGGCGCGCGCGTTACACGGCGGACGTTCTGAAATATTACGCCGCGTGGTATCGTCAATTATCGCGGACAGCGCGCGAAAAACGCAACGGCCGATTACGACTAACATAAAATCCCGACACTTTCGGTCAATAAAAAGTTGAGAACGTACAAACACATGTCGTGCGTCTGTACGGCGCGCTCTTGACAAAATGTGATTACGTAATATTCGTGTATTACGCGCGACATCGTTGCGAACTATAGCTGTTAATTATGGCAACAATAATTTTTCACGTGGACATATTATGTATCGAACCGCGAGTAGCGGTTCATAAGTAACGAAGATAGTAAATATTAATTTTCTGTCGGGCACTTGTGTGCGAAGACGTAACGAGTTACCAGTTTACCGGTTGGGAACGCGAGTTGTTAATGATGACTAGTGTATATGGACTAGATCGGGTTTCATCGTCGGATACTTCGCACCGGAGAGAAACATAATGACGAAAAGGACGCGGGGATTTATTCATGAGTCGTATGCATCAATCACCCAACGTATGCATCAATCATATGATATAATGTGTAATTTGGATGTTAAATTGGTACCACGTATAATTCGGATATTTAATCAATGGATATATATGCAGTTTTCATATAAATAGTGTCCTATCTTCTATCGTTTCTATTTTCTATTTCGTTGGGAGTCAGGCACGATTTACGTCTACGCATGCACTACGTAATATGATTTGAACGCATTGTAAGCGTTTTAATTGAACGCTCACCATTCGGCGACGAAGTCCAGCAACGTTCAGCCGGGTCCACCCGGTGAAAGCAGCCGCTGCGTCCTGAACTGCTCGCACAGCATCGCGCCGCATCCAGGCGTCGTCCCACGTTGATTCACTTCACTTTATTTCACTCGCGACACGATTAACATTTACATCATAACGGCGTGTAACGAATGTCTCGACAGCCGCCGGTGAAAGGCTTTGATTTATTTCTAAGCGAGAAGCGAAGCCTCGGGATTTGCGAATTCGTTTAACTCTATCGCGACGCGATAACTTTTCCGGCACGTAACACAAACACAAAGCGCGAATCTCGTGTAAAATATCGCGGACTGCGAAGACATCGCGTGGTGTGTCTTTAGTGAAAATTCAAAAGATAGGAACGAAAAACCGGTTTTTCGTTTCGCCTGTTTGTAATATTCCTTCGATACAGTCGAGGTACGCGAATCGTGTGCGAAGACATTCATAATGAACTCCATGAATCAAGATCCGCGATCGAATACGTGCGAGAAAAAGTCATGAATTAAAGATCCGCCGCGAAATTCCTTAACATCATATGCGAACGAAGAGATCGCAAGCAGCGTGAGTCCTCTCACGCTCGATGGCTCGCGCGAAATACTTGCGCGAAAATTACCACTCCGTGGTACTTTTACTTTCGCGAAAATTGTTGGCAAAATTAATCTGTCGCAAAACGTAATTGCGACGCGTATGCACGTACGAGAGATGTGAAAAGTTAATAACCGTAGTGCTCGCGAAATCTACGGAAGTAGACGCGCGTCTCGCGCGTGATAGCGCAATTCTGATGCGCATTATGTACTGCTCGAAACAACGAGGGAATTGCGCCAAATGGTCAGTCGCGTTGAATAATTTTGCTGCCCGAACAAAAAAATGTTAAAACAGACGGTCGAAATATATGAAATTTATACGAGCTTATTAAAGCTCAGGTTTAAATATTAACACGCATAGAGTAATATATTTCAATATATATTACAGACATGTTGCATATTTGCTAGAGATGACGCGTAGACATTCCATCGTTTCGAGCAGCGTATTTTCGTAAGACACATACACACACACATGTAATCTACTAGCAAATGTAAATCGTTCTGACTCCAACGAGATTTTCTAAACACCTTAAAATATCTCTTGTTTTTTTATTCACTTACAGAATATTCCGCAACTCAGAGCCAGCCGCATTCCGCTTTCAGTTCTGCAACAAAAATTATTTTACAGATTAGATTTGAAGAAAGTTTACATATAAAGTGCGGATATAGATACGGGTGGATTAATTTTTTACCGCCGCGATACGAATCTTTTCGACGTCTGTATCGTTTCGCGACTTTCAACCATGAAGGATTACACAGGGAGATGTACGTAGTAGTTATACGAACATACCTTCGAGCCGACTCTGCTCGGCCCGAGCCGGATCCTCCGGCACTGCATCTGCAGCTTCCACATCTGCTTCCTTCAGAACGCCCGCTTCTTGTGGTGTACCCACTTGATCTAAGACAAAAAATAATTTTCCGGTTAGCGACGATAGCAGTGATGTGAGGTTATGATAGGTTAAGCGGATTATCGAGAATACGCATATACTCTCTATCTCTCAAATTCAATAAAAGTGAAACGTGATAATTACCCTGTCATCCTCGTATGCTATCCTTGACGAGAAGACCGTGGATTCTCAGCTTCGACGAAGGAGATCGGAAAGAAAATGCTCCGAACGCGTCACGCTCACTCATTACTGCGCGTCTAAGGTCCTTGTGGCACGGCGCGTACCAGCCTAACCTATATAAGCGTTGTTATGTGTACAAGGACAAGGTGACTTTCGGCGGCCTGAGCACAATGTACCAACGAATCGTTCAACTTTTTCGGATATGTTTTCATAATATTTTATCTCACGTTAATTCTCAATACAGCCATGGCGCGGACTGTTAATGAAAATCGCGCTGTTGAGATCGAGAACAAGTGAATGCTCGTGCGGAATGTACGTGCGGAAAATCGCGAATCAAAACTCGATCGATGACAAATATATTTCGGCTCCTGGCTGCGATGTATTTCACGTAACGTGACGCGAAATAGACTCAGAACTTTAACGCGATGTGAAACTTGCCAATGTCAAGTTTAGATGTCGTGTTCCGTCAAGTCGGACTGTTCATGTCATGGCACTTTCAAAAACGGAGTTCTTCCACCAGGTTGTGCCCGTCACCAAACTGAATTCTTCTTCGAAAAATATCTCTCACACCAACGGTTCGTATTCGTTTCCTCTTCCACAGTTGAAGATACAAATACCCGGCCAAAATTAAATTTACAAATTGATAATGCCTCACAGCAGAATTCATTATTACGGCACGTTACGGTGATCGTAATATCAAATATAACCTCAAACGTCAAATTCACGTCACGTCACTTCACGTTCCGTCGCGTCCCGTTACGTGAAGTTCATCGTAATCCCGCCCTAACTGAAGTTGCCGAGTTACACTCATACTGTGCTCGCGAAATCTGACGAATTTGAAACATCGGAACGTACTTTCTTTAGTTAGGTAATGCAACATAGAGAAAGGATTGCGGAGTATTTCTCTTTTAAATATTGGATAAGATTAAAAAAATCGTCAATTACTCGTTAAATATTAAAATGCTTTTTGTTATTTGTGACGATCACACTGTTACCACGCGAGTATTGCAAATCCTCTTTTATATCAATATTTGATTATTAACTGTTTAATTTAGAAATTTAGATAGAAACAACGGAGGATCTTGTCTTGTGTGTTTCCACTTTCATGTTTAGTGGTGTTATAATCTGGAGTGAGACGTGTATACGGTCGAAGGTCGCGTGATTTTCGGCGAGCCGTTTGTTTTGTTTACTATAACCTTGCCCAAACATCTCGTTGTTTGTGTATTGAAAAGAAATACACACATCGTTGGCGCGTCCTACTTTTATGGGATATTAAATTACGATAACGCACGCGAGATCGCACATTTTTATTTTACATCGCATATTTTATTTTATATGTTTCATTTCCTTACAACATTATAGATTAGTTTCTATCGTAAAGGCTGTTTTACGTACGGGAATAAATTTACAAATGGAAGAAAACAAGACCTGTTCGTGATTCAGCGTGATGGAAAGGAACGCAGTAAGGAAATAACGTTGTCAAGACATATGCAAGTTGCATTGTTAATGCTGGTTTAATTTTAAACGTGATGACTATGTTTAGATAATAATCAAGTGTTGCGCAGAGGCTAATGTGCACCTTATCAGGCTAGTGTTTTATTAAAGCATTGGAGGGATGACTTCTTATTGAAAAATAAGAGTTTAATTTATAATTTTCTTCAGACAGATTGGTAGAGCAAGCAATATTAGTCACATTTTATTATTCTGTTTGTTACCGTGAACTAGTCGTGATATATAATCATGATTATTAAGTCTTGATTATGTACGTGATTTATGATAGACTTTTGGGTCTCCGTTGATGGATTCATTTTATTATCGTACTCTGAATAAAGAGCTGAAATATAAAAATTGTAGACATATTTTTCTGTTGCATAATATTGAGCGTAAAAACTGAAGAAATTCAATACACTTGTAACGTACAGATGCATAAGGGGGAAACATTTGTTTTAAATACATTCATGATAATATAAAACATGATATATATATATATATATATATATACATATAAATATTAAAATGTGAGTTTAATACATACAAACATACTTACAACGTACACACGTGCAAATATTGAAGTCTGTTTTTCGGATATTAGTTATTTGATTGCATTTAACAGGTCGGGTTAATCGTCGCGATATCGAATAAACAGAATCGCGGGGCGCGATTGCGCGCATTATCGCAAGCTGCGAGGAAAGACCGTTGTTATCGCGATGTTGTTTTGCGGGGGGTTTACGATTTTTTTGCAGGAGATATGCAAAAATCCGCAAGTGCACATGTATCTCTATGTTATTTACTACTCCTGTGACTCGCTCACTATATTTACACGACCAACGAAATCTGATAAACGATAATAATATCGGTGATGTGGTACTTAGACGGTGTACAGTCATGAGATTCTCAAGGTATAAGATTCTCAAAAATTACAGGTTTTATCTTCCTCTGTTCACACACGTCGGCCTATATAAGCTGAGCGATAGCTGACGAGATTCATAACGTTTCGATCACAGCGAAGAGAGAACACCTACTGTCGCCTACTCGAATTCGGTGAACGCGTTTCCTGAACGTTCGTGCGCTTTGTAGAATACTGATCAACAATGGCAAAATTTTTGGCACTTCTTTTCGTCGCGCTTGTCGCACTGGCTTTAGTGGAAGCTTGCGCACCTCCTGGTATGATGGTAAGTATTGCACTTTATTAAGAACTGTTACACTCGTGTACCGAAAAATTTCCACTGCGACGCTTGTTTAATCGAAACTGTCAAATGAATCGTGTAACTCAACGCTATTCTTTCCTAATGAAATTTCTATCGGTGCGCAGCGACCAAAATACATTAATCGTATATTCATACACGTCGTTTTCCACACGGATTCTACAATAGATCCTAAATTAATTTTTACAGAAAAGATTAATTGAAATAGTTACAGTTGTATTAATTAATTAATAAAGTGTCACTGGCAGTGCGTTGGTAAAGGCGGTAAAGGTCCCAATTCACGTTGTGTCACAGAGAGTAATTAAATATACCTGAACAGGCTCGATTAGGCATTTAAAGCTCGAATGATCATTTCGAGTGATAATAAAGCTACGCGATAATTCTGTATGTGTCTTACGAGTTTGTTAATTGATTTCGTCTTAACAGTGCTCATCAGACAGCGATTGTTGCGGTACTTTTGTCTGCAATCCATGGGCTGGCCGTTGCACAGGAGCGAAATGGAACGGGCCCTATGGCAATGACAACGGCAACGGTAACGGAAGACCATGGTAACTGCAATGGCAGGGAGCCGGTGACAACAACAACGACAATATCCAATGAAATTAGTCCGTCTTCGAGGATTTGGAATTTTCTTGCATAAGCCTGCAACGATTCGTCGTTTACGACGAAACGTGAGCCGTGAGCAACGGCTCACGTTTCGTCGTAAAACAAAGATTTATTTCATGTAACCAATTGATGTGAATAATTGCCAATATATACTTATAAAATTACGAATTGTAACATCAAATTTTTCTTTCGTGCATTTCCCCGTAAAACCTTCCCCATATTAACAGCCATTTACAAGTGCATATAACAAGCTACAAGAGTGCATATATCGTACATGTAATTTAGGCTGCATGCGAATTTAAAATATTATATCGTTAATATAAACCGCAGTAAGCTGATCGATGTAATTGACGAATCAGAATCTTCGCTATACGGTAATATTAGACGCTACGTGCGCAAGTGTACTTATTTGATTAGAAATTCTCAATACTTGAATCTGTCACACAACACGGCTACTATAATCTGTTTCGACAAAATATCTCTGTATTTTACGTTTTGATGTGCACTTGCAACTGAATACATACCGCGTGTTTGCTCGAAACTTTCGGTGACGAATGTTCTTATCTTATATAACCACCGATAATGACGTCTTATTGCTAACGAAGGTGTTAAGGAAAGAGATGTGAGAAAAGAGTATTACTGAGAAATTGTACGGATGAATTAGTGGTGTATTCAAGTGTATGCGAGGTATAAAAGCTCCATGAAGATCATGATATCGACCATTTGGGGACAAATACGACTCGCGAGTCCATATCGAAAGGTACGTTTATCGAAAGGTAATACTTACCATCATACCAGGAGGTGCGCAAGCTTCCACTAAAGCCAGTGCGACAAGCGCGACGAAAAGAAGTGCCAAAGTTATGGTATTCATCTGATTTGCTTTGAACAAACGTTAAATATATAAAAAACATACTGATATATAGGGTGATCCTATATATCCGGAATAACTTACTGTTCTTGAAATGACATGTTCTCGAACGAATTCTAAGACGATTTTTCCGTTTGCAAAATACAATCCAAAGTTTAGTTTTTGAGTTATAAACGTTAAAAAAGATAAGTCACCTATTATGTGTAATCAAGTAATTCGCCTATTATGAGTTGGATATAGGAGGTAGGTAGCACATCTCACTGTGACATATTTTCTTGCAATCTAAGCACATTTTAAATAATAAATCTAACTTCGCTTATTATTAAGCTTATTATTAAGCTTTTATTAGGCTTATAACTTACTGTCTTTGTTTCCGTTTTATCTTATCTACATTCTGTTTATTATTGATTTATCGTTATCGTTAGGCCCTAGATAGGTTTAGTTATAGGCCTAATAAAAGCTTAAGTGCAGGAAAATATGTTGTCAACCACAGTGAGTTGTGCCGTCTCCGCTTACTTTCTATACTCAATCCGTATAATAGGCAAACTATTTATCTTTACAACTCAAAAACTAAGCTTCGGATGAATCGTCTTAGATTTTATTCAAGAACATATCATTTCAAGGACAATAAGTTGTTTCATGTCACCGTGTATAAATTATACACTCGTAATATCACAGTAATGAATTATATATTAGTATTTGTATTACTGATGTATATAAGAATATTTATATATAACAATACATACTTATTTTTGATATTCGAGGGACGTATGCTCAAAAAGTTTCACGAGTTTCGCAGAGAAAAAGGGAGATATACTCGCGCACACACGAGTTGTCACTGAGATTTCCGTCGAAATAATATATAATTATTAAATTATCATTGTATCGGACCGTATGAAACACCGCTTACACAGAAATCTGATAATTCCAGCAGAGATAAATATCCTCGGCAAAATGAAGTTCGTTATTTTCACCGTTCTTGTTATCGCCGCAATGGTCATCGCTGCACCTCAGGAGCGAAAAGTGTGCTCTGCTAACCAAGGATATGTAAGTGTTTCAATTGTTATTACGTTTTTAAATAGTTGCAAATTTACGTTTAACATTTTACATGTAATTGTGACAAATCATGAAATAAGTCGAAACAATATTGAAGATCTTAGCGCTGCGCGTTAACGTCCGCACTATTATTATTTAATATTATTTAATAGAAGTATTGTACACAAGTCACTCAGTCGCGCTACTGACTGCTGATACCATGTGAAACATATTATTGTGACTATTACGGTTCGCGTATCAAATTCCCGTAGAAATATATATTGGAGTACGAGACATGCTTTGATCGTGGTGACAATTGACTCACGATACCGTGACTCGTACCAAGCATCAAATAATAATTGTAAATATCTATAAATTTTAAATATTTTATATATTTCAGTGCCAAGTGTATGAAGACTGCTGTCGTCATCTAGTATGTCAGACCTATTTAGCTCGCTGCGTGCCAAAAGGAGGTTTGATCATTCCAGGAGAAGATAAAAGACCTCTCTCACCTGACGACTCATAGTCACCAAACGTATGAGTCAAATTCTCAATGATCAATTAATACAACGACCCATTATTCTACGACGACGTTTTATTGTATCTCGATCACCACTGTGTGATCACGATTTTGTTTCTCTCTCTTTCTCTTTCTCTCTGTTTCTCTTCTGTTCTCTTCTGTTTTTAATAACGGATAAGTTTTCACATTATGTTCAGCATTTTAAATAAAAAACATTAAAAAAACACCGACGCTCTTCACCTTATTTATTAGTAATTAGTTATTGTAATTATGGATTTATAAAAAAACGGGAACACGATAGGAGGGAACGCGTTCGTGTAATTACTTTACACGCACACTAAAGCAGTACTTACATATAATCATTAATTCTTCGATAATGGTCAAAACGAATTAGACGACCGCGCCCATTATTATTTAGAGGGATTATCGTAAATATATCTGCGGGAACAATCGGATGTGCTTGAAATTTAATATCTATTATTGCATGCTGCATACACATATACGCATATGTAGCCCCCGCTATGAACGCTATGTTTAGTTGTTAGATGAATAATTAAATATACTTCAATTAATCGACATAATAATACGCACGTAAAAAGATCGGCATGTCGTTATTAGCGCTTTATAAATTTGCGATTAAAGTCGCATAAGTTGAGCGACAAATCGGAAGTCTATTTCGCCTTTTCGCAGAAAAGTTTTTAAGGGAACACGTTAATCGGATCGTTGAGCCATCCGAGCGAAAGAAAAAATGGGAAACGAAATATTTCTACGTGTATTAAAACCGTTCGTTCTCTCTTTGGAATGAAAAATTCGAATATCAAAAGTGCGCGCAAAGATGTTAAGGACCTAGAGAGCAGATAAATAATTCATTATGATGCAAAAGCAGTACCGCCACTGACGCATCGAGTTGACAATCACGGCGCGATTTTAACACAATTTTCTCCTTATTATTAATCGAACAGATATTATTACGCGATGAGTCCTAGAGTAGATCGCAAACGTCACTTAATTACGGAGAGCAAACTATTATATTCCGTCGACAAAAGTAAAATAGCCGTGTAAAATTCTGTAAATGTTGCGTGCAAAACATGCATTTGTGAACAATATAGATGTTGCGTTATGAGCATGATATTTAATAATATAGGAATAATTGGTATTGTGTTGCACTTTGTTAAACTGAATCTGACATACGCACGCACTCTTTATACATTTATATTTTCGCCAATTAAATGCAAATTTCCGGATATTTATATTGTTTCGTATTAATTTGTAACTATAATATAATACATACATGTATATATATATATAATATATATATATATATATATATACATGTATGTATGTATTAAATATATACGTAATGTATATACTTAAAATGGATAAAGCGTACTTTGTGCCGCTGGTAAAACACAAGCTACTTAATTATCTCCTACTCCTCGTAGGATCATTACTGCACTACGATCGGCGATTATCGGCATTCGAGCATTATCGACACTCGAAATTGCGCAAGTACTTTCCAGACATGTTCTAACCGACGAAAATTGCATTTTCATGACTTTAAACGACTGCCACGCGATAGGATTGTCGAGACATCTATAAATATATATATTCGTGAATATTCTTCCTCTTTTTGCTCAACATCTCGTACGTAGACTGACACTGAAAAGCTCCAAACGGCGATAGCACTTGAGTCGAACGGACGGCGATAAATCCGCGGAACGCGCATGTCGCTTAAAAGCGTCAAGCGTGTCTGCCACCGCTCTGCGGATATACTAAAAAGGTTAATTCGGCTCATGATGTGTCGAAGCTTCCCCGATGACAGGAAAAAAAAACCCCGACTATTCCTATTCAGCCACTATGGGCGAACAAAAGGACAATGCTACCGGATGATTCAGTTTCCTTTCCTGTTGTTTCCTGTCAACCGAATTAAAGAACAAGAGCGCTTTGTCGGAGAATCAATGGAATGCACGAGGCGCGCAATATGCACTCGATAGAATGCCGGCGCAAAGGGCAAAAAGCACTTGTGCATTCGATACTGGTGAAATGGAAAGAGGATATCAGCGGAAGGCGTCTTTTTGCAATTCCCTGTATTTCTGTACGGGGGTAATATTTAATAACCGAAATGCCTGCAATAAAACTGCAAAACAGCCCGTCCGCCAAAGGCGCGTTCGAGATTGACGCGACGGATGTGCCCGCGTTGTAATTCCCTTCCGTGGCATAGCGTTTAGCAATTATACGCGTTCGAATCACGCGGGGAGTTAATACGCTTAGAATATAAAACTAACTTGCGGATACTTGGAACACAGACGTAAGTAGAATAGATAACGTATTCGTAAATATTGCATACGTTTTTCCTCGGTATAAGGTTAGGCTTTTTTCTCGTGAAAACATGAAATTAAGTAATTCAGATGCGACGATGAAATTACTGTCTTGTTCGAAATTACCGTTTTCCTCAATGCATGGATGTACATTGTTGCGGTAGGACAGAATCAATTTACGGTAATGAAGATAATTTCATATCACAGCGAAGAAAAGAATTTTCGGACTCTACGCTGTCGAGGAGGTAATCGACGAAAAATGAAAATTTCCGACGATAAAATTCTAGGTAGGAAGTTTATGGATTATTTATATATAAAGCATTTAGACAGATAGAGAAATCAGTATCATGATGATGCAATCTACGTAATTTAATAAAGTTTTACGTTAATTATTCGGAACGAATATTTACATAAAATGTAAATATCGCGACTAAAGCATAACATCAATAATCATAAAGAATTTATTTCTCAAGTATTTTTGATATTTCTGGGATGTTGTACGTATGGCACGTCACAGTTAGCGCGATAACGTAGTATAAATGTATATGTGGCGCATGAAGTTTAGATAAGATGCTAAAAAAATGAGAAGTAAAACACAAAGAGTAATCGTTATATTTAATGTATAGTATGTGCACGTATATAGTTATGCGTGCAACTGTATCATGTTGCACGCGTGCGTCACGTATGTAAGAAAATGTAACGATTATCGCTCATACGTTATATGTAAACGCCTGAATTTGCTTGTGTGAGACGTTCGAGTCATATAAGAGTCTTGGCCGTTGTGAAGCAAGACATCAGTCGAGGTCGTGCTTTCGAGACAGTCAGATCCAAGAAGGAACATTCGTTGAGTTTCTGGTAAGCGCCTAACTACGCGAGTGATAACTCGTATGTTTTCTCGAGGAGCTAATCGTAATATCGAACATTCTCTAAAAATATTTCTCCAGAAAGAAATTGTGGGAAAACCAGATAGGTGAAATAAATCACTTGAGAACGTTAAGTAAATAAGATCGTGTGTGCGTGTGTCTTTCCTTTATTAATAAAATTAATAAGAGCACTTAAAAAAATACGGACTGCATATTTCCTCGTAAAATTAATTGTTAAATTAACAATGATAAATCTTATGTTTGAAAATGTTTTATACGTTGTTGGATTTGCTTAGAGATTACAGTGAACTTATTTAAACTCACTCGTATGAAGAAAAAAGAAATCCGTTTTCCTTTTTTTCTCTTTGGAGATGTTGAGTATTCGCTGACGTAACAAAAACGTTTCTTGCGATACGTGAACCTCTCAATTATTCATAATTATTGCTGTATTGGGCAGAATTGCAGCGTAGTCTACGCTACATTCGTCGTCGACAGTTAAAATAATGGTAGGCTTGAACGTGGTGCATTAGGAGTATTTTCGTAGTCGAGTTTCAATATAAATTGCAAGACTTAACTCTGGAGTTCAGTATCTACTTTGTCTATTCAAACACTAATCGAGTCAGACCTTGGGTGATTCACTCACATATATACCTGTCGTCACTGCTCTACCATAAAACTCACGGTCGGCCTGTCGCATTGCGTAAGCCGAATCTCCGAGTCTGAAAGAACGTTTATAAAGTGGGAATTAAAACGGCGATACGTATATCAGGCTAACGAGTGGAATGTTACGTGCGCTATCAAATTGTGAATATTTTCAACAAGCGATTAAAATCTTTATTAAAATCGTGTGTACTAATTATACGTAGAGGCGCGTTTGATAATTGACATGAAAGCGTCACGTTGAAGGTTTACTTTGTGATTCGGACGTGCTCGATCATCTTTCAAATTTTTCAAATTTACTTTCAGATTATATAACGCTGTGAAAAGATGGCGAAATTAATGCTATACGTCTTCGCGACGTTGTTAGTCGTTTCTCTTATCACGGCGAAACCCGCTGATAAACAGTCATGCGGTCGACATGGTGACCCGGTAAGTATACTTATTGTCATGTATTTCAGTTTTTTCTCTTTCGATATTGCTTTTCCTTTCACTCTCGCCTTTTAGCTGCGCGCTGTAAAAATACCGCAGTATTGCTCGCGATCAATAAGGAAAACGGAGAAAGTGCTTTCGGCTTATATTTAACGTAATAGAATATTAAAAGATTTGTACAAATATTTGCACGCATAACACGTTGCGGCCAAGTGTACAATCGGTTCACCGTGAAAACAAGAACTCGCGGCTGAATATAGAACAAACATACGTCCGATTTTAGCAGTAATGCCGCCGAGATTCAATCCACTCAGCAATAAAGAGCACATTCTATCGTTACATGTTTATTCGCTTTCTGTTTACTTTGTTCTTTTTTGTATTATCTTAATACAACGTATTTTGAATTTGCGCGTGAGCTTGTTCTTCTGCATGTATCCTTTTTCTCTATTCGTCGTGATATTTTCTCTCGGAACGATTTAATGCGTATTTAATGTGCCACTTAACACGTCATCCTAAGCAGAAATTTCATTGGAGACGTTTACGATTTATGATTTACGGAAATATAGTTAACATATCTTGACTCATTTCAGGATGTCAAAGTGACGTGTAATATCGTTTCGTTTGTTATTTGATTTCAGTGCATCTCCGACTCACAATGCTGTACCAATATAAAGTGTCACCGATATGCGAATAGATGTCAAGTTCAAATTACCGAGGAAGAATTGATGGCACAGCGAGAAAAGATACTGGGCCGAAGGGGCAAGGATTACTAACACTAGGCGAACATTCGGCCATCGTTGCGTTATGCTGAACTGTGCGATAATAATCCTTCTAATTCCATGACCGAAAGCTTAGGCTCTCTTCTACAACACTTTCTAGAACTTGGGTCGAAGATTGTTCTTCAGGAAATTTCCTTGTAGAAATGTATAATACGTTTTGCGTAGTGATTTATAAACTGTTATGACGTATGTGTATTTTGTGTAAGAGTAAATAGTGCAATATCTCTCGACGGAGAGGAAGGATAAATACAAACTGAAGACTTATTTCTTATCTAGTTCAGAACTTTTTCTTACGAACGAGATATTTCGCGCGCGCGAGAGAGAGAGAGAGAGAGAGAGAGAGAGAGAGAGAGAGAGAGAGAGAGAGGAGAAAGAGAGGAAAGAAACATGTTGACCTCGGGAAATAGGAACGGAGCATCAATCGATTAATCGTTGGCGTACATAGATTCTTGTTGATTTGTGTCAATCTGCAGACACAAGGATTTATCTTCTCTCTTTCTTCTCCCATTTTTCTCGTTTTCTCTCAAACACCGTGCATTAATCGCTCTTGCTATATCGGATTCCTTAGTGACAAACTATAATGCGCAACTTCAAAAGAGCCCGCCGACGCGGCTTGATGAAAAAGGATATTTCAGGATTGCCGAGTGACGAAAATTTCGAGCGGACAGATCCGTCGCGACGATCCCCCGGCTTTGTCTGCCCTGCGCGCCTCTCTACGCTCCGTCTGTTATATTCGAGGACATTTAAATTCACTATCTACTATCTCGGTTTACCGTACACTCGTTAAAAGGCGAGCCTTTGTTCGATAAAAAGACTCCGCCGGTATATCCGCAGAACGGAGTAAAAATCCCACCGGACTCGACATGTTACGTGGCGTGCGAAGGACAGGTGCGCGGGGGTCCGTTGGGGTGGTTTAATAGCATCGACTTATCTTTCGATAAGCCCGTACCGGGACCCGCCATATGGCCGATTCGAAATCGCTCGTGAACGATTTCTTTCCGCGTCTCCAGATTACGATGGATAAGTTTAGTGATGCATAAAAGTATCGTCATGGTTGCCGTATCGCGTACTTAATCCGCACACACGCACACACACACACACACACATACACATACTCGTTCCAATGATGTCTTGAGAGCGTATATTTCTGCCCTACGCGACCAATCGAGTCAAAATAATACACGTCTCGCGAAATACGACGAATGCTCGAATATTACGCGAGACGATTCGCCGAGCATTTAGCGCGCGATCTGAGCTAACGAGGCTCAAAGTTTCCGCGCGAACTCGCGAAGTTGCTCTACGATAGTCCGCCGTGAATTTATCCCATCGACGAGACCGAGCCTTTGTAAATTTGAAAAGTAGCCGGACTTTGATTCAAAGACCAAAAGCTTCTTCGGTTCGTTATACAAAATTTCCGCCGTGTTCCAATCTCATTAGCGCCGGCTTAAAGTTAAGCGCCCCAACTCTTTTGCGCCGGACCGCACGTGCTCTTTGACCATCGCGCTGTTTCAACGGAAATCCAACCTTCTTGACAAATTAAAGACAGACTCGCGCACTTCTTCGATCACGGTCAAAAAGACACCATCGGCCAGTCATTTTGCAAAAGAGCGTAATCTCCGGCCGTTTCAACGCGGACATTTTCACTTCATTTCACGTTGTTGTTCAACGACTTCACTTACTTTCAGTCGAATTTTAGTTTCTCCGTTTCTATGATTTTCCAAGGGAGAATTTATTTATTTACTCTCTCCTTCTCCCCCTCGCGGCGGGTACGAAGACCATAATTAAGTATCGCGTCAGATTTATCGAGGTCTACGACTGACGCACACAATTCTTCCGCACTTCACATTTTAATTTCCGTAAATCTGCGCCTGTCACGACATCGATAAGGCAGAAAAAAGAGTCCTATACACATACAGTTCGTTACTAGTAAAGACGTCACCCTGCAAATATTTGCTCGCTATCCCTTATCGTGCTCCAGCTTAATTGCCATATGGCGTACGCTCATATTTCACGCACACCTATCCCCGTCTTAGATACGCCCGTGTGTCTTGCACGGATACAATACACACCGCGTGTACGCTTTTTATATTGCGACCAACACAGTATCAGAGAGTTTTATTTAAGAAGAAGTTTTATTCTAACTTTTATTACAGAAGAAATATTTTAAAAAGTCAATCGCGATCGTAACGAATTGATCGACACCGCATCGTGAGATGCACGGTTATCGCGATACATACTCTGCGCTCTCCGAAACTGGAACGTGTCGCAATATCATTTGCGATCGGCAGAATGCCCTCGCGCATCTCGAAGCCGGTGGTTACACGTTGCACCTACTTAGCTCGCCAAAAGAGAAAGCGCGCACGCGAGATGAGCATCGTTCAAAGTGGTGTCAAGGTCGAGCCGCAAGAGAGCGGACCAGTGGGAGCCGCGGGAAATTCCGGCGTCGGAAGCTGCGGTGCTCGAGAAAGAAAGGAAAAACGAACGTTAAGAAGGATACACGGAGAGAGAGAGAGAGAGAGAGAGAGAGAGAGAGAGGGGGGAGAGGGGGAGAGAGAGAGAGAGAGAGACAGAGCGAGGGAAGGAGAGGAAAAGTGAGAGAGAACACGCACCTGAGACAAACGGCGAGCCGGGGTGAGTCCTCGACTCGAGTCGAGTGTCTCTCTTGGTGGTTCCTTTTGAGTCCTCATCCGCGAGGTATGCCGCGTCGGTCCTCCAGGCCGCTTTTAAGCTCGTTCCCGTGGCGGATCGCTAAGAGATCACGAAGCGAGAGTATAATAGCAGCGCGTGAGGGCGCGTAGGTCGAAGACACACGACGGCGGATGCGTGATGAGCGCAGATGATGACGAAGAGTGAGAGAGGAAGAGAGAGTGAGAGAGAGTGAGAGAGAGAGAGAGAGAGAGAGAGAGAGAGAGAGAGAGAGAGAGAGAGAGAGAGAGAGCGGGAGATCGCCACGGTCTTTCCCGTTCTCGGGCAAAGATGTACTCGCGAGCCGCAAGGAGAGCGCCGGTAATGCCGGCAGCACGCCGCGAGCATGTGCGCGGACGCCACAATATGAAAACATTATCGGCCGTAAGCCGTAAGGCACACAGCAATGTGCTGAGCTTAGCCGGCAGTCCCGGCTCTCCGCAACGCGATCTCTCACTCCCGGTGCAGTGCCACGTCAGGACGTCAGGATTTCAGGTGGGTACTTGTCCGCCGGATTCGCATGGCCCAAAAGCTCGCTCTCGGGGCCGGGAGCACGGAGGAAGGGAGGCCACCGGAGCCGATTTGCGAAAGGAACGGGGGATAGGCGATGCAGCGGGGAGACGAGCTTCGGAGCCGCGCTCCGTCGTCCCAAATCCATGGCGGATCCGCCGGAAGAGAGCGTTAATGAAACTGTCGCCAGATTATTCGCCGGCATTACTCTCTCCCTCCCTCTCTCTCTCTCTCTCTCTCTCTCTCTCTCTCTCTCTCGATGGCGCTCGAGGACTCCTCCGCTCGTCTTGCAGACCGAAGCGCGCTCCGAAGGGGTTTAAGCCGCGACGATGATTCTCGCCCGCGGCTCCGGCCGCTACGGCGGGCGAAGCGCGCGCTCTAGTCGAAAATCTATCGTCGATCTTGACATTTCCGACGTGCCCGTGTACTCGCGAGCGCGCTGGAGCGAGCGCGCGAGCGGACAAAAAGAGCGTTTAAACGGACGCTTTGTCAGCGGCCGTGGCATCGGGGTCGCGTTAGTGATTTTCCGTTATCAGGCTGATCCGACGATGAGTGGGAGTAAAGTGTGACGGCGACGAGGACGGGACTGACGTTGTGAAGAGAAGAACGCACGAACACGACACGGCGTACCGACACGTACGACGATACAAATACCCCGGCTACTTAGAGACGCGAGGGAAATGGGACTAGCCATTTGGGGCAAACTACCCCTAGGCTGGCTCTCACGCGACCGATCTTATCGCCGGCTCAGCCTGGGTCTCGCCTCGGACGTACATCGCGCGTACACGCGCACACGCATGCATGTGTACACACGCAACACACACACACACACGCACACGCACACACACACACACACACACACACACACACACACACACACGTACACATCTACACCGACACGTGGCGTAGACGGCATGCAGGACGGAGCCCGGCTATCTTGCCGCGTGGAATTGATTTCTTGCATTTGTTATTTCCTTGGAACACCGGCCAGCTTGGTGTGTGTATTTTTTTTATACCCCGATGCTGACGAATCGCGACGATTAAGCGCGCGCTGAAATATTCACAACGATGTTATCGGCACCACGCATGTCCGGCAAAAACGGACTTGAAACCAAGACGAGTGCTGTCGCACGCGCGGAATCTAGCTGGCGGCGCCAGTATCTCTTGGCGATCGAGCCTTCTTAAATCGATATAAAATGTTAGGCAGGGCTAGATATCACGCGTACAAAAGTTTCACGATCGGTTAAGCCTCAGGTCACTGTTTTAGATGCTGGATTTGACAATACAATTCTCATTCAGGTTTTCAAAATCACAAGAGTGTATTTTGAATTTTTGGTCGAACATTTGCGGTCGCACAATCAGTCGAAAATGAATTCTTACGTAGTATGCCTGGATCGTTCGGATCGAGGAAGAAAGACTCTGGAAAATTTCTGAGCGAAATTTATTATTTTATGCAACAAAAATTTCCCACACTGTTTATGCTCTCATCTGAATCAATAGGCACGGTAATGCCTCGCGTCATGTTCAAGCGCAACGAAGTTGCGCCCGAACAACGCGAGGCACACCGTGCCTATATTACGCGAAACTGCGACTTGAAACGAGCTGAGATATTCATATCTCAGCAATGGCTAAACCGATCGAGGTTTTTTCAGTACCAATCGATTCGGCCTTAAAAAATAGGAAGAAAAGTGTTCTTGTGTTTTTTCTGTATGTTGTCTCTAAATGTAGATATTTTAAAATAAAGTCCAAATCACGGAAAATTTCGATTCAGTAAGAAAGTAAGAAATGCTAGATCGCAGAGGAGAGAGTATTTGTGCATCTCACTTTTCCGACACCAGAGGCGTTACAAGCGCGCTGAAGAAGCAGCGAGTGCGAATGAGCAGGCGATAGAGAGTAAGTGAGAGAAGAATATTACTAGAATACGGGAATAGAAATGTGCGAGAAAGAGAAAGCGAGAGTGAGAGAGAGAGAGAGAGAGAGAGAGAAGCCAAGACTTTTGGATTAAATATTTTTTATTGCATTGTTATAATAACTAATTTATTATAATAACAAGTAAAATAACCATAAAA